TCCGATCCCCCCGCACCGCCTGCGCACCGAGCGCGGGAAGACGCGAGGAAGGGAGCAGCGGACCTGGGGTCCCGACGACCCGCAGCCCGCGTGCCCTGCGCTGCGGCCTCCGGGGCCGGACCCTTTGCCCCGGGTAAAGGCGAACCGGCGGGGCGACGCCCGCGGTCTGAGGCCCGGACCCAGCTTGGCCGGCTCCCGCCTGGCTTGGAGCTTGAGCCGCAGAGATCTCCTGTGCTGGGCCGCCCTCCCGGGCCCGCAGGGTCCTGTGCCCTGGCCTGGACGGAACCAGTTACCCTTCATTTCCCTGTCGGACACCTGCTCTGTGCCGGGTAGCGCGCGGGTGGCTGCGCCCCGGGCATGCTCTTCCGCTCCTTTAGGCCCGCGGTCCCCCTCCCGCAGGCTCGGGGTGGGGTCGCACAGGGAGCCTCGGCGCGTGGCCCGGAACCCCCGGTCCCTAAGCTGGGCCTCGGGTTGCCCCAGCTGCCCACGTGCTGGCGGCTAGCCCTCAGCTTGGTCTCTCTCCAGGGTGCCCTTGGCGCGTGTCACACCCCCACCCCGGGGCAGCGCCAGCCAACACCTGCTGGACGCAGAGGGGGCACCTGCTGGAGCACATTCTAAAGGGCCAGGGTTGCCGGTGCCGCCCACGAGGCCTCTTCTGTAGCTGCAGGCCAAGCCAGCCTTCCTTTGTGCCCCGCCTGGCTTCTGTCACCCCCTCCCCGGGTATTGTTCCTGGCTAAACGCACTCCCTAACAAGTACTTGCCAAGACTTCCGCGAAGACTGTTCAGGGAGCGTACAGTCAGAGAGGAAATCACAACCCATTTAAAGACATTGTCTTTCCTCTCAGTTCTAGAATGAGGCACGCTTCCTTCTGTGAAACGGAGTGTATTCCCAGGAGCGGGGCGGACGAGGTTGGTTTGTAGACAGAGAAGGGCTAAGGGAAGCAGAAACAGCAAGAGCACTGGTCAGAGTCACTTTCCTTGTAAGGCGGGGACAGCGAAACGGAGCCATAGACATGTGACGAGTGGCTAACGCTGGGTTCTGCAGGCCACGTTTTCTAAGGACTAGAGTGAGGGGACTTCGTCGTCATGCTGACTGAAATGCCTTTTTGGGGGAGAAACCTAGTTCTCTCTCCTGATTTTTGAGAAGGCTGGATAATAACTTGGCTTTAGTGTGAGTGACTCCATTTCAGTTTTGACGTGTGGTATTTTAAATCCCGCGCGGGAGCCCAGCCCAAAACAGTGGGCTCCAGCTACTTATGTCTAACGAGACAATGATTTTTTTCTAAGTATTGCCCATGTCTAAGAGCCCCTGGGTACGGCAACAAACTACAGACAACAGATTTTCTCAGATTTATGTATAGCCAGGCCTGTGTTTGTTCTGCAGGCGCTGAAGCCCCTGACATAAAGTGGTGTTGTGTTTGCATGTAACCCACGCACATCCTCCCTGTACTAAGTTTGATCCCACCCAGATTGTGATGATACCTACTCTAGGTAAGCACTACGTACACAGTTGCTTGACTGTAGTTTTAGGGAGTAAATGACAAGAAACAGAATCTGTACATGTCTAGTTCAGACACACTCACAGGTAGATCTGCAAAGCACTTGGTCAACAGCAATATGGTTTTTTTTGTTGTTGGTACCAGGAATCAAACTCAGGACCTTGTGCTTGCCAGGCCAATATGGTTTTTTTTTTTTTTGGAATATTTTCAATCAGTGGTTGGTTATATCCACAGATGTAGAACCCCTGGATACAGAGGACTGATTGTATTGTATTTCTGGTTCTTTTTTTTTTTTGCTTTCATGAAAATTTTTATTATTTTCACCTCAATGCTCAATAATACAATAAAGTCACATTACATTTACTATAATGCCAATTTCCAACACAAAATTCTTCAAAGGCCAAATAAAATACTATGATTGTTCGTAGTAGATTCTAGTTGAGTTTGTACTATATTTCTATTTTTAGAAAAAAGTTTCCTCAAAACATTTTTAAGAGCTGTTAATTGGGGAGAAGTTCCCAGGTGTCATTACTTACTTTAGAAATAATATATAAAATATACATTTAATCCATGACATCTAGGTGAATATAATCTCATTTAAAAAGAGGTAAATAATTCAGTAGAATACCCAGTGAACTTTGAAAGATCCCCTTCTGGGTCCTTTCTTCAGCCTACTTCTTTCTCAGAGATAACTAACATTTGGGAATATTCTTCTAGATGTACCTATCACTACGCTTTCGTACATATGTAAATGTACAGGAAAAAACAATTTTTAATATGAGTGAGGTCAACTTGTTTTAAGGGACTTATTAAAGTCTTGAAGTTTAAGGATCTGTTTTTTAAAAACAGATCACTAAACATAGAACTACCTAATGCTTTTTAAGGCTATACTGAGTTCCAGAGCGTAGAGATTCCAGGTAGCCACTCCCTGGGCTCAAGACTTTGAATGTCCACCCACACAGTACCCAGCTTTTCTTTCTGTAATCATCCAGGTGGATTATACTTTATGTTTCACTGCAGTTATGTGGAGACGCATAGCCAACTCTGGCCGGTGAGCTGAGAATATAAAAACCACCTGTATCAGTTGGGGTGAGAGTACTAATCCGCCCCCAGCCACAATAAGGAAGGCCTCCTGTGAGATGGGAAATTCTCAAGACCAAGACAGCCTGGATCCCTGAACTTTGACCTGGAGACAAAGTGCCTCTGGTTGTCCGGATAGAGTAGCTCTTGAGGAGAGTGAGAATTACGATTAGCCATGTGGAGGCCCTGATTTTTTTTTTTAAGTGCAGTATAACCAGTACATTCCAGCAGAGCCACTCCACTACTGGGCATTTAGCTGAGTCTGGGGGCACCCACCTGTAACTCCAGCCCTATGGGAGGCTAAAGCAGGAGGATTCCAAGTTCAGGCCCAGCTTCGGGAGCTCAGTCACTTGGTGAGACTGTGTCTCAAAATAAAGTCTAGGAAGGGTTGCAGGTATTGAAGGCCCTGAGTTCAGTCCCTCATACCACTCCCCCAAATACAAGTGCTGCAGCGCACACACTTAGAACACGTGTCTGACCCCGATCCCAGCTCACTGTTCAGGAAGCTTCTAGTTCAGCAGCTGCCAGCAACACGAGGCTGGAGCTGGGAGGGCAGAGGCGCCCTTGCTGAACAGCCCCTGTCCCCCACTCAAGCTGGAGCTCTCCCTGGTACTTCACAAAACCTGTAATTAATAAAACTGTAATTTTATTGAACTTCTGCTTAACAAGAACTAACTAGAAATTAAACAGAAATTACAAGAGTGAATATTTCAATTGGACGGATACCCAGAAGAGGAATCGTCCGGCATTCCCATTTCATTTTGAGAGAAATATCAAATTGTCCTCCGTGGTCGTTACCCATCTCCCTGCCCATTGGATACTGTCTTCTCCCCTCTAATTTGATGAAGAAAAAAGCGAATTTTATCATTGTTTTAATTTGCAATTCTCCAGTTATAAGTTAAATAGCTTTTCATATTCTCATTGGCCATTTGTAGTCCCTATTTTCCAATTTGCTTGCTAAATTAAAACAAATGTTAAAACGTCTTTGAATGCCTTGAGGAAAAGAGTGGGTTCTATATAGTCAAAGCTACTGTTGCCTCTTGACTTTCCAAAGATGCCTGCTGTCGTCTGAATCTGGATTGGCCCCAAAGGCCCATGTGTTACAGGCTTGGTCCCCTCATGGCGCTCTGGGGAAATGGTGGAAACTTTTGGAGGCAACTTGGAAGCCCTCAGGTCATGGGAATGTGCCCTTAGAGGGGGCCATGGGACCCCAGTCTCTTCCTCTGTCTTTTCCATGTCCTGACTATGAGGTGAACAATTTTATTCTGCCACATGCATTTGCCCAACTTGATGCACTCCCCTCTACCCCGGAGGCCTAAACCTCCAGAACTGTGAGCCAAAACAAACCTTTCCTCTCCATAAGTCTCATCACAGATGTTTGTTATAGTAACGGAAAGCTGACTGACACAGTTGTCCCTTATTCACTTATTCTTTCACAAATATTTGTTCTTTCTTTAAAAATCTTTGTCGAGTGGCTGGTGTACGCTAAACGCTAGGGATACTGCTGAGCAGAACAAGATGGAATCCTTGTCCTCCTGAAGCTCCAGGTTTGTCAAGGAAGGTGACCCTACACAAGCCCTCTTCTTTGTCTCTGGCCTCATCACCAGACAAGAGAGCTGCAGAGCGATGCTGTGATGCTCTTGAAGTGAGGGCAGTAGAAGGGTGTCATCAAAGCAAGGCGTCACTTTTTTTCCTGGAGGATTAGCAAGAGCAACAAACATTTTCTGAGGCCCAGAGTATGCTCTTGGCGTCATGGACTAAGATTTTAAGAATTCCCTGCCCCCTTTTTTTCTTGGAACTGAGGACTCAACTCAAGGCCTTCACACTGAGCTACATTCCCAGTTATTTTTTAGAATTTTTTTAAAATTTTGAGATAAAGTCTCTTTAAGCTGAATTGGCCCATTTTACAGATGAAGAAACTGAACCCCTATGGAAGCAAAATGATACACCCAAGGGCTACAGGCTCCTGATCCAATTATCTACCCATTCCCTCCTGTTGCCTTGAGTAGTACCCAGTGTTCGTAAA